TTGCTCATTGCCTCATATCCCCCTGTCCTTAGCCCTGGGACCTGGCACAGAAGGCGCTTAAGAAATCTCTTCGGTGGATTAAATCCCTTCCCTGCCCTTGTTAAAAGCCCCACCTGGTCTCCACCATGCTCCCTTTAAGCCAGCTAAGATACTCTTTCAGCTGACACACAATAGTGCTGGCCCCAGGTGGAGCCCCCCCCGCCCCCGCGATGTGGGTCCAGTCTAGGAACTGGGAGCCCCCTCCCCTCAGGCTGTCCCTTCCAGCTGTCACTGTGCTGAGCCCTAATGAGGCTTGCACTAGGGGTTCTCGGGGCTCCTTCCAGCCTGCGGCATCAGCTTCAGCCCACCCCCTCATTTCACGGATGAGGGGCCAAGTCAAGTGTAATTTTATCAGCTGCCTCAGAAATCCACTGGGAAGGGGGGCTTCGAGGCACACGAGGGGCTGCTGCTGTACTCAGGACCAACTGTGTCTCAGACACCCTGCTAGCTGAGCGCTTTATGTGACAGAACACTTCACCAGTGGGGAAACTGAGGCTTGAAGAGGGAGAACCTGCCCAGGGTTGCAGGATGAGTCACTCACTAAACTGTGCTTCCATCCCAGTCTGCCGCACCCCAAATGGGAAGATTTGCTCCTCAGAATCAGCCAGAGGAAGAAGGGCTGCCTTTTCCATTCCTCTGGGACTCTTAGGGCGCCACCCTCCTCTTCCCCCCAGACAGCCAGACTTCTGCAACTAAGGCATATGGCCGCACACTGGAATATTGGCCAGGGAAGTAGTTGACTTGCAGAATTGATGGGCAAGGCCTGAGGTAGCAGAGACTTCTGATAAAGTTCCATGGCCCTTTGCCCAGCCCCTTCCCTGCCTCCGTCCTAGCCAGTCCTAGCCAGCTTCATGTGGCTGGGGTACGTCCATCTGTATTATTCCCCACCCCCACTCCAGTTCCCACCTGGGATTGGGCTCCTGGGGTTGGAGTCTAGACAGACAAGAGCATCCTACTGAGACCAGAGGCAGCCCTGACAAGGGGCTGAAGGTTCCCATAGCAACAGCATCCCCCTCAGCTTGCAGCCACCCGATAAATAAATAATCAGGGTTTGGGGGTGGGGAGCTAAGGGCCTGGGGAAGGGCAGCCAGGCAGGCTAGGTCTTGGAGGAGAGAAAGAGTGTGTGTGTCAGGCTTGAGGTATCTGGGAGAGGGGGGTTGGAGCGTCCAGGTGGGAGGAAACATGCATGGTGAATGTGATCAGATGGAAGACTTGTTCCATTCGTGACCCCTAGACTTGGGGGTGTTAGGGAGCAGGAAGAACGCTTGCGTTAGAACTGAGGTTTCTAACTCTTGCATTTGGACACATCAGGGGAGTGGACACTAGCAATGGACCAGGTCCAGAAGCGTAGGTTTACAGTGAATGCCAAACATGGCGGAGTGGGTTTGTAAACCCAGCACTCTGGAGGCTGAGGCAGGAGGATCTTGAATTGCAGAACAGCCTGGGCTCCAAGATCCTGTATGAAAAAAAGAAAAATTATATTCAGAGATGGGGCAAGTCCTGGAGACCAACCAGTGGGTGACATGGCCAGCATTGAAGGTGCTGAAGTAGCCTTAGGGTAATGTGGTGATCCAAAGACTATCAACCCCTGCTGGGACCTTGGGAGCATGGGAAAAGGAAAGAGATGCAGACTTCCCTAGGATGCTTCTGGGAGGGTGCAGTGCATGGGATAGGGCCAAGGTCAGGGGGTGGCAGTGGCATGGCCAGGGGAGGCCGCACATAACCCTGTAGGTTCAAGAATCAAGAAGACAGCCAGGCGATGGTGGTGCATGCCTTTAGTCCCAGCGCTGGGAGACAGAGGCCAACCTGGTCTACATAGAGCAGTGGTTCTCAACCTTCCTAATGCTGCGACAGACCCTTTAATATAGTTCCTCATGTTGTTGTGACCCCAAACCGTATAATTATTTCGTTGCTACCTCATAACCGCAATTTTGCTACTGTTATGAATCATAATATAAACATCTGATATGAAGGATAGCTGATATGTGATCCCAAAGGGGTCACAATCCACAGGTTGAGAACCACTGACCTAGAGTGACCCTGTCTCAAACAAGAAGAGGAGGAAGAGGAAGCACCCTCAAGGCTGGCTTTTCCCTTAGCTCTCACACGCTGGGAGTCTGTTAGGGGAGTAGGTGGCAAAGTAACAGACACCCAGAGACCTCTTCCGGCTTCTGGTTCTAGCAGCCTTCCCTGCCTTCCGCTATTGGCTGCACAACTTGGTGGCACACACCTGCAATCCCAGCATTCCAGGAAAGAAAGTGAGACAGGATGTCACCATGGCTGCCTTGGCTACCTGGTGAGTGTGAACCCAGAGTGGGCTACATGAGACCCTGTGGCCAAACAAATTAATTAATTGAATAAAATAAAGGGCTAATAATAACAGTAACAATAAAGTTGCATTTTATGAAAGATGGTGGTGACGCACCACCATGAGCCTCGCTTCAGGAAGAGAGGTCAGGAGGTTTCTGCGAGTGCCAGACCAGCATACTGAGCTACCCACTGTGTACCCAGAGTGGACTTGAACTCTGAATCTTCTGATCCCACCTCCCAAGTGCTGGGATCATGGTCGTATACTACCAAATTCCTTAATGGATTTTGTTTGTTTGTTTTTCTGAGACAGGGTTTCTCTGTGTAGCCCTGGCTGTCCTGGAACTTGCTCTGTAAACCAAGCTGGCCTTCAACTCAAAGATCCACCTGCCTCTGTCTCCCAAGAGATGGAATTAAAGGCTTGTGCCACAATACCAGACAGTATCTAAGATGTTTATTGGGGATGTTGCCCACTCATCTTGAGTCAAGGTGTGCTTAGCTGGCAAATTAGAATAAAATATTTTTAAATTTTTTATTTATTAATGTATATATTCTGTCTCCATTATATGCCTGCAGGCCAGAAGACGTCACCAGACCTTTTTATAGATGGTTGTGAGCCACCATGTGGGTGCTGGGAATGGAACTCGGGACCTCTGAAAGAGCAGCCAATGCTCTTAATGTCTGAGCCATCTCTCCAACCGCTTGAATGAAACATTTTATTGTATACATCCTCTCTCCATTTATGAATTTATCGTGTGTGTGTGTGTGTGTGTGTGTGTACAGGCCCACTTATGCCAAAATGTACATGTGAGATCAGAAAACAGTTTGCAGGAATTGGTTTTCTCCTATCTTTGTCTCTTCCTCCTGAGTCCTGGAATTATGGGGTATACTTCTATGCTACCACACTATACCACGTGGAGTACCGTCTTGACATCTGTCTCGCTGAGGCCTGGGGTTTGTGACTGGCCTTGTGGACTTGTGCTGTATGCTTTCCCAACCCTCTTTACACTATTTCCAGAGGGTGGGGACCTCAGAGCCTGCACAGGTGATGTATACTGACTGTTCTGAGACGTGGAGGAGCTAGTGGACGGGACACACTGCATGTCAGGTGGATGGTGATCTGGTCAGAGCTCAATGCTGGAGTGGACAGGTGATGGCTGTGAGGGCCAGGAACAGCAGCATCCTGGGTTAGGAGGGGTGGAGCCACCAGGGGTCCTCCCACCCGTGAAAGGCGAGAGCTGTATTTCCTCAACCCAGGAGGGCTTGGGGAAAGGGAAGGAGGTGGAGACTTCAGTTCCAAATTCAGTTGCTGAAAGCATAGAAGTCAGGGGACAGCAAGGCAGCATAAAGTCACAAAATCACCTGATGCTAGATCTGACTATATGAACTTTATCCCTGGGACCTACATGGTAGAAGAAAAGAAATGGCTTCTGCAGGTTGTCCTCTGATCAGCACACATGCATGCATGCACAAATAAATTTTTTTTTTAGAAAAAAGGCAAAGAGTGGAGTGAGGAAGAGGAGGTGCCTAGCGCGAGTCCTTCCCCAAGGTCAGTCAGCCACCCAAGTCAGGGCTAAATGGTGGAGTCCACTAATCGTGTATAGGTGAGGAGCCTGAGGCCCAGCGGGGCAGGTGACCTGGCCAAAGTCCTCCAGCAGACAGAGGCACACTCCGCCCTCTCCACCTGTGCCCCTTGACTCCAGAGCCAGTGCCCGCTGGGAAGCATGGTACCCTGGTATCTAGATGAGACAGGTGGCAGAGACAGGTCTGCTCTGCCACCTGCCTGCTGTGTGACCTTGGACAAGTCACTTGTTCTCTCTGAACTATACGTTCTCCTCTCAAGATGACGTAACGAGCCCAGTTCCGTCTTCCTGCCAAGGCGTGTGCCGGGAGAGATGAACTTGGGATGCCTCTGACCATCTGCAGAGCCCTGTGAGGGCTGTCACCAGCAAGAGGCAGATGGGAAGGTGCCAGGCCCAAGCCTGGCACGACCAGGCTCCCCTCATATCCTGCCCAAGCCTGCAGCTTCTTTGGTCTCTTCCCAAGCTGTGCCATCTGTGTGGTGGCATCAGCCTGTACCATCCTCCTGCCCTGGCAGGAAGAGACCCTGGGATCTCTCACTTGACCCAAATCCCCCCAGCTCATTCCTAAGCAAGCCCTCTGCTTCACTCTGTGGGGATGTTCTTGTTCAGTTTTAGTGCTGAGAAGCCAACCTAAGGTTTTGCACATACTAGACAACTGCTTTACCGCTGAGCTATATTCTCAATCCCCCAATCTTGAAAAATTAATTACATTCGTTTGTTTGGGGTAAGACTTGTGCGTATCAGAGGACCCATTGTGGGATTCGGTTCTCTCACCACTTGGGTCCTGGGGATCAACTTCAGGTAGTCAGGCTCAGTGGTCAGCCCCTGCATCCTCTCACCCATCCTGCCCCACCCCCACCCCATGTCTATTTGTTTGTTTTGAGAGATGGTCTTACTGGGCTTGCCAGCAGGAAGGAGACCCTGGCTCAGATTCCCACGCTTACCCCAAAGTCACGGTCAGCTGTAGAGGCCGGACTTCCTCTTGCCTTACTCCGGGCTGAGGGAACGGGTGTCTTGAGTCTCTGTCCTTTTGCAGGGCAGTTGTCTCAGCCTGTCTCTTCCACAGGTGGCAGCACTCCAGCGACAGATCTTTGATTTCCTGGGCTACCAGTGGGCTCCCATCCTGGCCAACTTCCTACATATCATGGCTGTCATCCTGGGCATCTTTGGCACCGTGCAGTATCGATCCCGGTACCTCATTCTGGTACGTCCCTTTCCTTCCCCTGCCTCTCTGACTGTAACTGTCTCCTACCCATAAGCCCAAAGGGACACAAATACCCAAACCTCAAAGTTATGCATTCACGACATACCCGGGTGGTATGTTCCACTAGAGAATCTTCCCAGGGGATAAATGTGAGATATTTCATAAGCAAGATATGTCAACACGGGGCTGGAAAGATGGCTTAGAGTTTAAGAGCACCGACTGCTCTTCCAGAGGTCCTGAGTTCAATTCCCAGCAACTCTATGGTGACTCACAATCATCTGTAATGAGATCTGGCGTCCTCTTCTGGCCTGCAGGGATACATGCAAGAACAACACTATACATTATAGATAGAGAGATAGAGAGATAGAGAGATAGATAGATAATCTAAAAAAGAAAACTATGTTGCCTGTCCAGGGTAGGCCAGGCAGAGTGTGCAGTTCTACATCTGTGTCTCCCATCGTTACAGCAGCTCCACTGCCTCTCCATGCAGCTGAGGAAGGGGCTCAGAGTAGTTAAGACCCTTCCTCAGGTCACACAGCTAAGAAAGGCAGAGCCAGGTCTGGACTGAGGGCTCCTACACTGTCACCATCCATAAGCTATGAGGACAAAGGAGTGGGTCACATCCAGCTGTGTTTCCCAGGGTAGCAAGGAAGCTCAGGAAGCCGTGGCTTCTGTCCCTACTGACTGTCGTTCACTGAGGACGTGGTCTGGCAGGTGCAGCATGGTGATGCATATCTGTAATGCTAGAATTTGGGAGACGGAGGCCGTGTCATCGAGAATTCAAGATAGCCTATGCCACACAGTGAGACCCTATTTCAACAAACAAATAAACATGGTTTGTCTGAAGGTAGCTGATGTGGCCTTTTGAGATCAGTGGTTCCTGTGCTCCAGCCCCAGGGGTATGACAGTATTCCCAGAGCCCTCCCCTGCTAATGGTCTGCTAGACTTTTAGCCTCAGACGTCCTCAGCCATGCTCCCTGCTGGGCCTTGGTGCCTCTTCAGGTAGCCATATCAAGGAACAGATTTTTTACTAGATTAACCTACATTCCTACTTGATACCTACAGAATCAAAGACATGTGGTGTCATGCTACTAGTGGCCCATCACACTCATTCTAGGTCATCCTTTGGTTCCTAAGGCCAGCTCCACCATGTTGGCTCTGGTGGCAGCTTCCCTCACCCACTGAGCCATCCTATCAGCCCTTGCAGTTTGTGTTTTTAAGATTTTATTTATTTATTTTTAATTAGGAAGGGGTGCACTTGAGTGTGGGTGTCTGAGGAGATCAGAAGAGGACACTGGATTCCCTGGACCTCAAGTTACAGGTGGTTGTGAGCCCGCCCTTGTGTGGATGCTGGGAACAAAAATCTCATCTAAACTGCTGAGCCATCTCTCCAGCCCCAGTTTGGTTTTGGTTTTGTATTGATTGATTGATTGATTGATTGATTTTTGAAACAGGGTTTTCTGGGTGTCCTGGAACCACTCTGTAGACCAGGCTGACCTTAAACTCGAAGATCCACCTGTCTCTGCACACTAGAAGAGGACACCAGCTCTCATTACAGATGCTGTGAGCCACCATGTGGTTACTGGGAATTGAACTCAGAACCTCTGGAAGAGCAGCCAGTGCTCTTAACCTCTGAGCCATCTCTCCAGTCCCTCCCAATTTGTATTTTTAATAAACTACTCATTGTAATTGAAGAACACATAGAGGAGGTCGCTCCACAAGAGCCTGGGCTAAGGGCCTTGCCCTTCCTCCCAGCTGTGTGATCCAGAGGAGCTGAGCCTTCCTCTCTGTGAAGCATGTGAAGGAGACGACATGCTTGCCTGCCCTGCAGGGCTATGAGGGATGGATGTGGACTTGTAACCTCTACTATACAGATCCCCCTGTCCTTGAAGTCTGTCTCGATTGAGCCACCTCGGGCCCCCACCCTGATCTCCCCTCTGCTTTCCTCAGTACGCAGCCTGGCTGGTGCTCTGGGTTGGCTGGAACGCCTTCATCATCTGCTTCTACCTGGAGGTTGGACAGCTGTCCCAGGTAAGCCTCCGGCCTGGTGGTGTGCAGGGCACAGCCTGACCTTTGCTGTCTCTATGGGGGGCCTGGGACAGTGTGTCTCCCACACACCTTTTCCCCTTCTGGTGTTTTAAACTGCTGAAACATCTCTCCAGCCCCACCCCTCTTTTTTTGAGACAGGGTCTCTTGTAGCCCAGGCAGGCCTCAAACACTTCATAACAAAGAATGACTTTGAACTCCTGACCCTCCATGTTTCCCCCCAAGTACTGGGATTACAGTCATACCCCACTGCATGTGGTGCTGGGGAGGGACCCCAAGGTTTCCTGTGTGCTAAATAAGCACTCTTCCACCTGAGCCGTGTCCCCATCCCATGTCCTCCTCTAGACTAGAGATGGTTCATTGGCCAAGTGCCTGAGTTCACATCCCCAGCACCCACAATAAAAGCCCTCCAGTAGTGTGTATCTGTAACCCCAATACTGGGAGAGGCAGAGAAAGAGGTGTCCCAAGGGATTTCAGGCCAGCCAGTCTAACCACACTGTGAACTCCAGGGTCGTTGAGAGGTGGTTCAGTGGCTAAAATGCTTGTTTTGCAAGCCTGATGACCTGAGTTCAATCCTGGACCCTGCAGCAGAAGGCAAAATGAGAACCAGCTCCCAAAAATTGTATTCAGACCTCTGGACATGTCCTGTGGCACTTGGGTACACACAGGTGTGCACATAGGCACATGCACATGCATGCACACACACACACACACACACACACACACACACACAAGCAATAATAAATGTAAAAGAAAAAAGGTGAGAGGGCAATTGAGGAAGCCAGCCAACTTTGACCTCTGGCCTCAGTATGTACACATGTACATTCACGCGCACACACATACACACACATACACTAAAGTACAAGATGGGTGTGGAGACACACACCTTTAATCCTAGCACTCTGGAGGCAGAGGTAGGTAGTTTTCTATGTTTGAGGCCAGCCTGGTCTACAGAGCAAGTTCTAGGGCAGCCAGGACTACACAGAGAAACCTGTCTTGAAAAACAAAAACAGGGCTGGAGAGATGGCTCAGAGGTTAAGAGCATTTCCTGCTCTTCCAAAGGTCCTGAGTTCAATTCCCAGCAACCACATGGTGGCTCTCAACCATCTGTAATGAGATGTGGTGCCCTCTTCTGGCCTGCAGGCATACACACAGACAGAATATTGTATACATAATAAATAAATAAATATTTAAAAAAAAAAAAACAAACAAAAAAGTAGAGCCCCACGTGGTTACACAGGAGACGAAGCTTGATCTCAGGCCTGTGTGTTTGGTTTCTTGTCAGCCTGGTGGCTGTTGGTCTGACTGAAGGAGTAAAGGACTAACAACATTTATGGGCACAAGGCTGTACACCCCAGGCCAGCCCTTCTCCATGTAACAAATGGGAGATTATGGAACAAGAAGAGAGATTTGTCCAGAGTCACACAAAGGAGACCAATGGAAGCTTGTATTAAGGATTTCACCAATGCCTGGGGAGTTAGACCCTGTGCCTGTTAGTGTCCCTTCTAATTCTGAAATTCCAAGGTTCAACACCCACCCTTTTCCATTTCACTGATAGCGGGGTAGTGTCTACATGATCATCTACCGCCACCTGCTGGCAATGTGTGGACTTGCAGGCTGTGAGAGTGGGTGGTAGCGAGAGCCTGGAGAGTATCCTGTCCCTCCCCACCGCTCAGTATCCCAGGCCCCTCTGCCCCCCAGGACCGGGACTTTATCATGACCTTCAACACATCCCTGCATCGCTCGTGGTGGATGGAGAATGGGCCCGGCTGCCTGGTGACCCCTGTTCTGAACTCCCGCCTGGCTCTGGAGGACCACCATGTCATCTCCGTCACGGGCTGCCTGCTTGATTATCCTTACATTGAAGCCCTCAGCAGTGCCCTGCAGATCTTCCTAGCTGTAAGTCCTGTTCATCACCCACCCCCATCTTCCCAGAAGTGCAGAGTCCAACCCATCCTGTTCTTTAGTCCCAGTTAAGAGAGGACAAGCCAGGTGTGGAGGCATATACCTTCAATTCCAACACTCAGGACAAGCAGAGGCAGCGGGATCAGGATCACAAGTTAGAGATCAGCCTAGATTACATAGTGAGTTCCAGACTCTCCTATTCCTCACCAGCCAGGAAGAGAGAGAGAGAGAGAGAGAGAGCCAAACCTATGTATTCCAGCCTCCCTTGACTCCACCTCCCTCCCCCTTCCACCCCTCCCTCAGCTTCTAAGAAGGGCACTGACAAGTTTCATGAATGGGACAAGACTTCAGGCCAGCTGCTGCTGGACCTCACTATCTAATACGCCATGGGACCTTGAATAAACCTAAGCTCTCTTCCTATTTGCATGGAAAAGACAGTGCCAACCTTACAGAGTTGGGAGACTAAGAAAGGGGCTCCAAATAGGGGGTCACAGCCAGGCATGGTGGTGTACACCTGTGACCCCAGCGCTGAGAGGTAAAGGCAGGAGGATCCAGAACTCAAGGCCAGCCTGGGCTACTTGAGACCATTAACCGGAGGGCTAGCCCTGTCCTAAGCACTTTCCACGGTCAGGGTCACATAATTCTTTCACTTAACAGTCTAGTGAGGCACGACTGGGGCCGACCTGGGAAGCCTGAGACACGGCTGCTTGTTGGAAGTCACACACAATCTTTGAAGCGTTGGCATTTAACTTAGGTGTTTGCTTTGGCCAGGGTGCTGAGTCGGGTGGGTAGAGGGGGCAGGGACAACTTGTCTTGCTCTTCCTGACTGTCATCCCCCCACCTCACCCCCACCAGCTGTTCGGCTTTGTGTTTGCCTGTTACGTCAGCAAAGTGTTCCTGGAGGAGGAGGACAGCTGTAAGTACGGCTCCCCCCGGGGAAGTGGGCGGCCCGTCTTTTCAGCACCGTGGACAGGGCTTCCTCCCCTCCAGGGAGCCCCAGGGTCAGCTTGGGGGCCATTTCTAAGGAAAGAAAAGCGGCCAGGGGTGCATGAGGTCTTCGTAACCATTCTGGGTTAGGACTCAGATGACCAGGTGCTCAGTCCATGGCCCCAGAATCGCCCGTTCCCATTGCTGGCTCTAACCCAATTGAAGGTCTTAGAGCCTTGGGGTCTTCCTTTAACCTGACCACCTCTCTCCTACTGCTGCCACCAGGGTAGGGGGCTCACTTGTCCCTCCCCTCTCCCACGCACGGCCCCACTCTAGGTCCTCGTCCTGATCACGGGCATGGCCGTTCCCGGCACCACTAACTCCTCAGGCCGGGATACCCGGGGAATGGAGTCCAGTCCTGGGTTTTTCACCTTCAGAACCCAGTCTCTCATAACTCACCCCTTTCCATCCGCAGTTGACTTCATCGGTGGCTTTGACTCCTATGGGTACCAGGCGCCGCAGAAGACGTCGCATTTACAGCTGCAACCTCTGTACACGTGGGTCCCTGTGCATGGGGGCGGGGAGGTGGGGACTGGGTGTGACTGGAGGCAGAGTCTTTAGTGTTGGTGGAGAGGGGACACAGAGGAGGCATGGGCACCCAGGTCTCTCTGTTCACCTACTCGCAGACCTGCAGATGCGCCCCCTAAAACGTCTTTGTTTCCTGCAGGTCGGGGTAGCTTCTACCCTGCTCCTACCCGCGTACCTGGGCAACTGGAGTTAGAAGCTGCGCCTTAAGGGGGCTCGGATCACGATGGGCAGGCGCGCTCCTTGGCTGCCCACGGGCTGACCGCACCTTGCGCAGCCTCTCCTGTATCTGCCGCTCCTGGAGCAAATGCGGACTGAGACTTGAACTTGGACATGACCCTGGCTCTGGCCATGGCCCTTAGCAGCCGGACTTCAGGGTTGGGACAGGACGGGACTGGGGGGAGGGGGAATTGCTGGGTTTGTATTTTTTTTTAATCTCAGCCTTGGTACGTGCCAGGGTCTTCCTCTTTCTTCAGCTTCGCTCCTTGCCTAGTATTTTGCCCTCAGTCCAAACAGCAAGACAGACGGACTCATCCCCATCTCGTCCCTCGTGTACCTGCCCTGGGGGACACACGATGAACTAGGAGAAGGAGTCCTGGGCTCCAGCCGCAGGGGCATCACTGACATCCTGTGTGACATCTGGCAGAGCCTTTGCTCTCTCTGAGCCTCAGTTTCCCCGCCTCAGATAATTACGATAATCCCTGAGCAGATGACACTTCTGGCGCACTCATTTCTCAGTTCCCTGGGCTACAGTGCAGATGGGAAAACTGAGGCCCAGAGACGTGAAGTGACTCCCTTGAAGCCACACAGTAAGGCTTTAGTGGAGGCAGGCTTTGAATCTCGCAGGCTCTAGTTTTAAACTCTGCAACCCAGGATCCGGCCTCCGGACTTGGTTTACAAGCCCCCTTGCAGCATGGGCATTCCCACACACTCACATGCCATCGCCACCACACACCAGCTCCACTCTTAAAGCAATATACCAGTTTCTTGTTGGGAACCAGACAGACAGAGCCCAAAGCCTTGAGTTCAGCCTGACCCACAGGAAACCTTTGTAATCTCAGCCTACCCTTCTTTGACAAACCTTCGAACCTCATCCTCCAAGGAAGCAAGGCCACCCCTCATCCTACCCTCGACCAGGTCCTTAAGCCTGGATCTCCTATCCCATGATCCTTTGCTGCTACCCCCTCCCCCTTCCCCTAGCAATCTTACTAAACCCTCGATTCCTACACCTACTTCACCATTGTGGTCTCAGAGGGGAAGAAGATGGTGTCCAGGAGCGCTGACGGGGCAGAGTGGGGATATGGGTGGAGAGTCAGCACCCCCCCCTTCCTGGGGACAAGCAGAGGGGAGGCCTGTCCTCATCACCTCCCTCCACAGATGCCCTGAGGACCCTGTGTCCTGAGTACTGCTTGGTGAGTTATGTCCAGAGAGTAGATGTCAATCCCCCATCTCTGGAACTGGAGCCACCCTGACTAGGAAGCACAGGAACCTATCAGAGAGCTTGGGCAGTGGAGACAGTTCACGCCAAATCGTGGTGACCACATTCTTCCCCATTCTCCACTCCAGGCTTTCCTGAGCTAGGATGGCAAACCTACTCCACTGTCCCATCCAAAATGCCACACGGAACAGCCAGGTCCAGGAGTCTCTCTGGTCCTCACAGGTCCCTGGCTGGTGAGCCGAATCAGAGGGCGACAGATTTCCTTTAGGCCAGGCTGCCTCTTGCCACCTGCAGCCCTGGCTTCTCCCATCCCTTCCCCAGGCCTCTTTCTACTCAAGGGTTTAGCCACTGCTGCTTTGAAGACTTTCGGTTTTATAAGCCGGGTTTTGCAGAGGGACTGGGTTTGCTTCTCAGTGAGATCTTGTGGACTGGGACCTCCCTGGTATCCATGCAGGTGGTTTGATTAAAAAAAGTGTTTTCTTCACTGTGTGCCTGTCCTGCCCTGTGGTCAGAAAGACCTTCAAAGGGGAAAGTCCCTGCCAAAAAATGTGTAAAACTGGGTGATAAAAATGGGCAAAACTGGGTGGTCATTTCACTTTTAACATATATACATACATTTATCTTTTTGTTTGAGACAGGGTCTCTCTGTGTAGCCCTGGCTGATCCAGAACTCGCTATGTAGACCAGGATGGCCTTGAACTCATAGACGCCTGTTTGCCTCTGCCTCTGAAGTGCTGGGATTAAAGGTGTGTGCCACTACGCTGCCCTTTTTGAAATATTTATAATAATTTGTGTTGGGGGGCCGTGTGTCACAGTGTTCATGTGGAGTTCAAAGGACAGCTTCGTGGAGTTTGTTCTCTTCTTGTACCTTTTTTTCCTTTCGCTCTGTTCATGAGTGTGTGTGTGTGTGTGTGTGTGTGTGTGTGTGTGTGTGTGTGTATGTGGTGTGGGAGTGGACTGACGCGCACAAGCCGCGGAGCACCACTCGCTAGAACCAATTCTCTTCTACCATGTGAGTCCCAGGTATTGAACTCAGGCTCCCAGACTTACTTAGCAAGTGCCTTTCCGGGTGGCGCTAACTCCCCTTTGTGGGTTTGTCTTGAAACTGGGTTTCACTTTGTAGCTCAGTCTGTCCTAATTCATACTCTTCCTCCTTCAGATTCCTGGGTGCTGGATTATGAGTGTGCACCACCTTGCTTAGCCTTTATTATATATTCCTGAGGCCCTGGCTTCTGCCTCAGACTGGCTTTGTGACTTTGGGCAAGCCACTGTCTCTGCCTTCCTCAAACAGCACAGGGGCCAGGCAGTGGTGGCACACGCTTCCAATCCTAGCACTTGGGAGGCTGAGGCAGTGATTTTTGTGAATTTGAAGCCAGCCTGGTCTATAGAGCAAGTTCCAGAACAACCAGGTATGTACAAAGAAACCCTGTCCCCCCAAAAAGAGGCAGGGGGAGGAGAAAAGAAATGCAAAATGCTTTCTATTTTGTTTTCTTGGTAAGTGCCCATTCTGATGTTATTTCTGGGTCTCTTTTGCATCTTGGCTCATTTCTCTTCTTGACAGCCGATTCCCTTGTTTTGAATGAGCTATGTTTTGGTCACTGTTCTATTGCTGTGAAGAGACACTATGCCCACGGCAACTTATAAAAGAAAGCATTTTAACTAGGGGGCTTGCTTCCAGCTTCAGAGGGTGAGCTCCTGGCCATTGTGGTAGGGAGCGTGGCGGCAGACGGGCAGGCATGGTGCTGCAGCGGTGGCTGAGAACTTACATCTGATCTGTAAGTTGAAGGCTGAGAGAAAGCGAGACTGGGCCTACTGTGGGCTTTGGAAACCTCAAAGCCCACCCTCAGGAACACACTTCCTAATCCTTGCTAATCAGTCCACCAACTGGGAGTCAGACATTCAAATACACGAGCCTATGGGGACAGTTCTCCTTCAGACTACCTCAAGATGGCAGTCGGTGCTTTCCACATGGATTCCTGTCTCCTACCCTTGACAGTCTGGATCCTTCTGGTGACATAGCCCAAGAATCAGTATTTCCAGTTGACCCTGGGTCTTGGAACCCCTCCCCAATCATACGTGTGAAGCTGGTGCTTGCTCTTTTATAGTGACTCTTCCTGAGCCCAGGTCTTACACGAGGACACCAGGTCCCCTGTATGACATCTGGGGACCATGCTTGGCCATGGCATTCAGAGAGGAAACTGAGAGCCCAGGGCAGGAGTCAAAGTATAGGAGGTGAAAATGCTGTCTGGGGTAAGATAATGGGATGGCTGGAGGGAGTACCGCTGCGGATGAACTAGCTTCCTATTAAGGTGACCCATTGCCACAACTTAAGTAAAACTTCAGTGCCTTTTTCTTTCTTTTTTGAGACAGAGTCTCTCTGTGTAACCCTGGCCAGCCTGAAACTCACTATGTAGTCCCTGCTAGCCTCAGAGATCTATGTGCCTCTGCAGTGCTGGGATTAAAGGTGTGTGCCACTTCACCCAAACATTAATGTCATTTTTCCTGCTATGGGTGGAATCCAGTATCTCTAAACTGGACGAATTTATTATAGTAGCAGTTCAACATGAGCCTTGCTAGGCTAAAACTCAGACAGCCCTCCTTTTTCTCTGGAAACAATGGAAGGATTTCCTGCTCATGGTTTCTTCCTTTACCTTCCAAGCAGCAGCAGCACCGTGTCCTGCACATGTCCCATTCCATCACCAAGTCCTCTGCTTTGGCTGGGCTGGGTTCAAGGGTGCACTTCTGCAACCCCACCACTTGGAGGGCTGACGTAGAGGGAGCAAAAGTTCGAGGCCAGGGCCAGAGAGATTCAGCAGGTAAAGACACTTGCTGCACAAACCTGACTCCCTGAATTAATTCCTGGAACCCCCATAAGGGTAGAGGGAAAGAACTCACTCTCCCAAGTTGACCTCTGACTGCCAAACATGTATGTGGTTCATATGTCCACATATACACAATGCACAGTATTTCTCATGTGTGTACACATACACACTAATAATTTTTTTTTTTTCAAGACAGGGTTTCTCTCTGTAGCCATGGCTGTCCTGGAACTTTCTCTGTAGACCCGCCCTGGCCTTGAACTCAGAGAAATGCCTGCCTCTGCCTCCAGAGTGCTGGGATTAAAGACACACGCCACCATGCATGGCTCGAAGTGGACTGTCCTTTAAGGAGGTCCAGCAGCGCTTCTCGAGTGAGCTGGAAGTGTGGAGCAGCGAGTGTTCTGTCTGTCGGAAGCCAGCCTGTGCTGGAGACATTCAGACGTGACGACAGCTCTGTATGCATAGACACAAGGGCTGTCTGCACAATGGTGACCAGCGTGACAAGCAGGTGGGTCTAGGTCCCCACCATAGAGAGTGCTGTCTTTCCTGATTCTGCCATCCCAGGCTGCCACTCTGAAACCTACGCACATTTCAGTATCCCAGGGAGAGATCTGAGACTGTGGCTCAATTAGAGGGCTTGCCTAGCGCACACCAGGTCCTGGATTTGACTGCATAAACTGGACGTGCTAGACACTCCTAGCACTCACCCATTATCCCAGCATTCAGAAAGCTGAGGCAGAAAAATCAGAAGTTTAAGGCCAGCCTGGGTTACATGTGACCCTGTCTTGAAAGGAAAAGGGGGGCGGGTGAGGCTAGTGTACCATTTGGTTCTGTGTCAAGTTAACACAAGCTAGAGACATCAGAGAGGAAGGAGCCTCTTGAGCGTCCATGAGATCTGTAAGGCGCTCTCTCTCTCTCTCTCTCTCTCTCTCTCTCTGTGTGTGGTTGGTTTGGTTTTTGGTTTTTCAAGACAGGGCTTCTCTGTGTAGCCTGGCCTGGATGACACTCTGTAGACAAGGCTGGCTTCGAACTCACAGAGATCTGTCTGCCTCTGCCTCCCAAGTGCTGGGATTAAAGACATGTGCCACCACCACCTGGTTTTTTTCTTTTTATTTTCTTGGGGGGGGCGGGACATTTTCTCAATTAGTGATCATGGGGAAGGGCCAGCCCACTGTGGCTGGTAGTTCTGGGTTTTATAAGGAAGAGGCCGAGCAAGCCAGTAAGCAGCACTCCTCCATGGCTTCTGCATCAGTTCCTGCCTCCAGGATCCTGCCCTGTTTGAGCTTCTGTCCTGACTTCCTTCAATAATGAGCAACAATATGGAAGTGTAAGCTAAATAAACCCTTTCTCCCCTACTTGCTTTTTGGTCGTGGTGTTTCGTCGCTGTAGCAGAAGCCCTTACTAAGACAGCTGGTGCGATAGCTCAGTGGCATAAGTGGGAGTTCGATCCCCAGGACCCACATGGTGGGAGGAGAGAACCTGACTCCTGCAAATTGTCCTCTGACCTTCATACAGGCATTGTATCAGACATAACAAAATTTAACAAAACAAAAAATAAACTTTTATTTTAAAAAAATTGAAGACTTCCATTCCCTCCTCTAGCCCATCTCCACTCCCTGTGATCCCCATGAAAGCGCAGAACCTAGTCATATGGTCTGGACATGGTGGTTCATGCTGTAATTATATGCTCTAATCCCAGTACCCCGAAGGTAAAGCCAAGAAGATCAGAGGTTCAAGGCCATCCTCAGATAATGTAGCTAGTTGTGGGTTATATGAGAAAAAGAAAGCCTGAAGCATGCATGTTCTTCCTGGTGAATATGGTTCATGGATG